ATAAATAAAGTTCACTTCTGCTTTCTATCACTTTTCATACAATTTTAAGACAGTATGGATGTAATGAAATATGCAGGGTAGAGTCAAGGAGCACGCTTTCTGTGTATAAAAAGTGTTCGTTGAAATGCCATCAAAATTGGTTGTGTTTTATATTTGGCACCTTAACGGGTGTAGCATGTGGTGTAATTTAAAGGATAGCGCTAAAAGCTGTCAGACTAACATAGTGAATTGAAAAAAGAAAGGAAAACTTCCGCTTTGTTAAGGCGCACTTTTCAAAGTATGTAATTTAAACAGACATCGTTAAGGAATATAATTACAAATTACTTTCATTCGCCTAATTATTTTTTTTAGGTAAATCGAAAATAATTTTGAAAAAATATGATTTTTTCAGAGAAATTGTTGTTTGTAATAAATGAACTCACAAAAAAAAAAAGTACATACACTCAGCACCCTTTACTCCGTTTACAACTGCTGCATAAATATCCTACTACCTGCAACGCTTGCAGTATTATGATGGGTCTTGTGAGCTGTAATTTGCTTGCACATTTTTCGACTTGTCCCCACTGAAGTAGGAAACCTATGGAAATGAAACGTCAACAAAAAATTCGTGCCACTGTGACGTCATCTGGCCACAAAACATGGCGGTTTTAGTGCTGCCCAGAAGATTTTAATGTTAGTAGGTTTTATCGATAAACGTTCTTGGCTCATTTTATTTTAAATATTGTTGAGTGAATGTATTTGTAGAATTTATACTTTAATAGGAAGTAAGTATATTGTTATGTGCAAAGATGATGTGATTTAGATATTATGTGAAATCTAAGACGAGTTCGTGCTTCAAATTTGCCAAGTAAACGATATGACGATTTTTAAAATTTGCTACACTGATTTTATAAAGTTGTCGTTTGCCGCAAAACATAAAGATATGGCGTAGTACAGTGCCATCTGCCCATTTCTAGCATGCTGAATGTTATCGTATTTTGAGTACGTGTTTTTCTTAGACTATTACAATCTATTTTAATTGTTTTGCTGACTCTAAAGTCCGTAACACACTACCGCAGCGCACCTCAAGGAAGGTACGCCGCACCATTTGAATCACTCTCACTTGAGAGTGATTCAAATTTTAAACTTATCAAGGGACCGCCTGATAAAAAAAAACACCTACAGAACATTTATTCGTTAATAAAATTACAAACGTCATTCCTTGTGACTTCCTCTCTAAAATCACTTAATTATTAAATATTTAACGAGTTGACAATAGTGTTATAAAACTATTTTATTTAAATAGTTCCGACGACTTTCTTGAGATCCTATAAAATATGTTTTAATTATTATTTTTGTATGTTTTAAGCATGATAAAATAAGAAATTTTATATAAGCAATCATATTAAATCGATATCAAAGTCAATAAATAATGTACAACCCAAAACAGACGGCCGAACTGACGTGACAATGACATTTGGCGCGCTAAACATGGCGGATTTTCGGCCTCATTAGACGGAGACGGAGACATTTACGTATATTCATGTTTCATTTTATGTACGCACTGAAATACTGTTATATTGTTTTCCTGCGAGTTAAAGTGCTGAGTAAGAACGAGATAGATATATGTTTATGTATGTGCCTTCAAAATGGGTGCTATTTATATAAGCAATTGTACGTATAGAACAATATGTCGTGTCCCTACTATATAGGTCTATGCTTGTCCCCCATTTAAGATGGCTTTCCTTACATCTACCCTCCTTATTTGAATAGTTGAAGATTTTATAAGCTCGAGAATGACAACAATGACATCGCAAAATCGATCTATTGCCATACAAAAAAAAAGGAAGAAGCAATGCACTCAATAGTAACGTCTTGACATTATTAGTTCATCGAGTACCGTATACATCGTGTTAAATAAAATTAAAGGTTGTATTAAATATGGCGAGGACCATTCGGGTGCCGTAAAGAAGTCGTGGCATCCGCTTAACCCGTTGAAATAATAAATTGTTTGTTAGTTATTTGCAAATGGTTTTTTTTATAATTTTTCACACTCAATATATGTAGGTATTGCGTTGGTTATAGCCTATAGTATTTTAAGCATGTTTTATTTTGAATCGCTCATTCTATCCAGCGAATCGAAAACTGATCGCAAAGAAGAACGTAGTTGCTAAGATTTAAATTTTTAATTCTTTAACAATATATGCTTGTCGAGGTGCCCAATATAAGCGTGGGCGGGCGATGTGCAGCCAACACTGCAGGGGAAGCGAACATTAACCCTTTCTGCAGTTCATTCGCCGTCTGGCCTCACCCCTGTGACCGCCCATGCCTCCCTAGCCACGTCAGCCTGGCTGCACGTTTGCCTTACTGAAATCCAACACTTTACCTACTACCGCTAAATATACACTTAATTATTTTTTTTATCTTACAAAAACTAAAACCTAGAACATTTCCACACAATTTATCTTTACTAAATATACTTTTATACAGTTCAAAATTGAACAACATTAGGGGAAGGTCGGGAAATGTGGATACCTTAAGGTATTTAAGGTTATAGCAGAAAAGGTATAAAATACAATAACAAAATAATTATCACAAACCAGTCTTTATTTATTGCTCTTACAAATACGAACATCAGTTACTATTAATATTTAAACAATTATCAAATGCAATTAAAATTTTAAAAAGTGCGAATGTATTCGCGTGCCCAGTACCCCGGGTAATGGGTTACATGATTATAAAAATCTAGGGTAAAAATAATTTAATACGACTAACTTGAACACATGTTAAATAAATATTTATACACTAACTCAATAGTCACTGTAATTAACATAACAAGAAGAAATTTTACTAAATGGCATGGTTTTTTTTATTGCGTATATGGAAGGACGAGCTCACAGTCCACCTGGTGTTAAGTGGTTACTGGAGCCCATAGACATCTACAAAGTAGATGCGCCACTCACCTTGAGATATAAGTTCTAAGGTCTCGAGTATAGTTACAACGGCTGCCCCACCCTTCAAACCGAAACGCATTACTGCTTCACGGCAGAAATAGGCAGGGTGGTGGTACCTACCCGTGCGGACTCACAAGAGGTCCTACCACCAGTAATTACGCAAATTATAATTTTGCGGGTTTGATTCTTATTACACGATGTTATTCCTTCAGCGTGGAAGTTAATTGTGAACATTTGTCGAGTACGTATTTCATTAGAAAAATTGGTACCCGCCTGGGATTCGAACACCGGTGCATCGCTCGACACAAGTGCACCGGACGTCTTATCCTTTACGCCACGACGACTTCAGCGTGTGACAATTAAAAACAATAACTAACTATTTGATAATTAAATCCCTCAAGATATAGTCAATTATTATTATATTTGAACGAAAAAACAATATATTCATTTATTGGAACTAGTCTCATGTCATCTGTCGTAATATAATATCACTCAAAATATCTAAGGTAACAAAAACCACATGACCACTGAAATATTTAAACGCCACTTTTATGTTTGAAATTTACATAATTTGTTGTATAAAAGCGTTACATATTGCAGCTTTCAGTTTATTAATATGTAGTAAGGAACGGTTTTCAGGTTACTGAATTCACTTTAAAAAAAAATTACAATAGTTAATAACAACAGAGGAGTCGTTAGCAAATAGTGTGATTTATTATTATAAATATAATCTGTGCGATATTTTAATTCAGGCTTTCTACAACAATGGACGAGATTATGATAGCTTTGACAATGGAAAATCACAATTATTTTATATTTTTCCGAAATTAAATCTTGGCTCTTTTACGATAGAAATTTATAATGGCCAGCTTGTCACCGTATCCATATAAACGGTAAGTAGAAGATAGTTATATCAATTATGCAATGTTACCGTCGTTTTATTACCGAAGCACCTGAACCCTCAAATATTTAGTGTATACTGTATAACCTATGCCTGAACTCACTGAAATTAAAGTCGAAAAAGTCAATGTCCTAATTATAATTTGGGCAGCTCATTCCATTAGTCCAGTGCGTTTTGTGCAAAGCTCCCTAGATGGACCCTGAAACTTTAAGAGTTCAAATGACTTAAATCCTCCATTGTGTTTTTCACATTGTCTTAATCAAGGCTAATCCCTAAACTGGGCTCACTGAATTTGGCCCCCTTTTTTTGATTTTCGGATTTTTTTACTTTTAATTGTTTGTTCGTCTTTTATTTATTTATAATTAATTAAACAAATGATCACCCTTAAGTTGCCCCCCCCCCTTACTAGATATCTTTATTTTTATCGCTCAGATAAATTAATTTTGATCAATTATCGATTCGTTCGATGACTATGACGATTCGTTCGATCATAAAAACAATTAAATTCTCAATTATTAATTCTTTTATATCTAATAAGCAAACCATCACCTCAGGCCACCTTATATTTTATAATAAAATTAGTAATTCCTAAATTAATTACGTAGTTCAAAAAATGTAAATGTAATGCACACAAAATCTGTTTTTGTTGAAACGATAATTATTTATAAGTTCAAGAAATATATTGCAGGGACATTTAGTAGAAATTGATTTAATATGGAAGAATAAACTTAGTGTATATAATATATACTCTATAGACAGGATTTTATTTAAAACCTGAGTATGTGTCACCTGCAGCCTCACTGAGTTTTTTACGTTTTAGAACCACAATGAGTCATTTAATTGTGATTTTTTAACGAGTAAAAAAATGTTATGTTCTTGTGTTATTTAACAATACAATTGATTCTGAATAAAAAAAAACTAAGCCTTGTAATATATATCAATCAAGATACTTCTCGATAATAATAATTAAGTTAATATAGACGTAAATAATTTTTTTTTTAATTCAGTGACCCCCTAAACTGATAATTATTTCCCTACACAGTATTTTTATTAGTCTGTGTTTGCCACGAAGAACTCGAATAAAAAACCTAACAGAAATCAAATCGTGCATAATCTGTAACCAAAACCATAAAGTGTATAATCTATGACAAAAACCACAGACTAAAAATAAACTGTCAACGGTACACAAATTGTCAAGAAAAGAAAACCAGGTTGCTAATCCATGGGTCTTTTGTAGTGTAACTGTTTAAGTTTATAGTAAAAATCATATAAAACATGCCGAAAAACAAAGGTAAAGGAGGAAAAAATAGGAGGCGAGGAAAGAACGAAAATGAAACTGAAAAACGTGAGTTGGTCTTTAAGGAAGACGGACAAGAGTACGCCCAAGTCACAAAGATGCTCGGTAATGGCCGCTTGGAGGCCATGTGCTTTGATGGCATCAAACGCCTGTGTCACATCCGAGGGAAACTACGAAAAAAAGTGTGGATAAATCAAGGAGACATAATATTAATAGGCCTACGAGATTATCAAGATGCGAAAGCTGATGTCATCTTGAAATATACTCCTGACGAAGCTAGGAATCTAAAGACGTATGGAGAATTCCCAGAGACGGTCCGCATCAATGAGACAGTAGTGTATTCTGTGGATGGATTAGATGAAGATATTGAATTTGGAGATGAAGTCAGTTCAGAGGATGAAGCTGATGATGTGTGAATATGTAATTTTTAGCTTTATTTATGATATTTGCAGTAAGTCTCTGTAAAATTCCTTCTGTTATTAAACATGACTTTAATTTTTACTTATACCTACTTGTAATTATCCAGTCTTCAAAATTAATTTGTAAAAAAACACAAGTTGAAACATTATAGTATTATTAATATGCTCCATCTGTTCCTTCCTGAAATATATTTATTCTGAAATTTGATTTCTCAACATTCCTGCCATTGTTATATTTTCTGAAGTTAAAATTTAAATATGTTAGGAATGTATATAAATTAAACAAACATCAACCACTGTACAATCTCTTATTTAACAACCATACAATAAAATGTATCAAAATCTGATTCAATCATACCAGAATATTGAATGTTTTTTTGTAATATTTCATGCTTTTATTCTACTGATGCACATGCATATGTATTTAAGATAGCCTGGCAAACTGCATATTCAAAACAATTCAAGTTGACAATTTGGAATAGGAGAGGGGATAGTGATTAAGGAAGTGAACATACAAAATATGTATTTCAAGAATTGAGGCTTAAACAGCATTATTGTAAAATTGCATCCAGGCATAAAATTTTAATTAAAGATAGCATTGAAAATCAACTTATTTAAACCAGAACTTAGGGAAAAGAGGATAGATAAATAAGAAAAGAGCACTGCAGTTGAATTAAGGAGAAGTTTCAGCTGCTTGGCAGTGCCCGAGCTAACCTGATATCTAGGAGACTGATTATCTTCCTACAATGCCAATAAATTAAGTTTGCCATCACTAGGTATCTTTATCTTTATTAATAGCTAAATCTTAAAGCTAATTAAATTTTACTGTTTCTGTCCTCTTACATTTTAGTAGAGAGTACTAAACTATAAAAGTAACTTACTGTAAAGTTGTTTTGCATAAATTCATTGCTACTTCAAAGAAAAGTGCTCAATTTAAAATTAGTTTTTTGTAAAATGTACTGTGTAGTTCATTATAGGAATGAAGAGCTATAATATTTATTTGCAATTTTATAGCCTTTCATGAGTTTTATTAGTTCTTCATTTTCCGCTGAACAAATTTATCTATCATTTGTTCTCGTTTCCAGGTGAACTTATCAATAGTAAAAGAAAAGCATGCTGAATATGTTTAACTATTTCTTCTTAGCATTATGATTTTTATCTGGAGAAAGTTTTAGTTTAACATGTGTTAGTAGGTGTTTAAAATTCGCACATTCAATTAACATAACATGCATTGGACTTTGCCATCTAATGTTAAAGTGACTCTAGCCCACCATTACATTATCACTGCTCAGAAAGTTCAATGTCTAACATAATTTTATCATGTATTCTACAGCCAATTCTGAAATACACATGCACATTTTAATGTATGTAGCTAAATACAGAGCTATAACTGGCATTCTGCCTGTTGCTAATCACGGTCTAGCGACTAGCATATCTAGTATTATTCATTCTGTTTGAATTAAATTTACATTCTAGTGTCACACTTTAGTATGCAACAATAACTTTATACAAACCCCTAACTTAAATGTGGGATCAAGTTAAAAGGCGATATAGAAATGATATTTATTAAAATATAAAACAGTTTTTAGTAATAACTACTGATGACATCATCAAAAAAATCTTTGGAGATTAAAATAAGGAGAAAATTGATCTACATTATTTTACTTCTCAGTTTAAAGTTTAGATAGAATTATCTGTTCATTTTATAGTCTATTTATGCCCACAGAAGTGCACTGCTGGACATAGGCCTTTCCCAAGGCTTGCCACAACAACCCGTCTTGCGCTGTCTGCATCCAGCGGATTCCCACGACCTTCAATAGGTCGTAGGTCAACCTTATGATCACCTACGCTACCACTGCCGGCACGCGATCGCCGCTCCATTGCTCTTTCGGTGCCCTTGAGTCTTTAAATAAGGTCGTTGTGGTTGTGAGCGACCATGTCTCACTGCCATAACTCATGGCAACAGTCAAAGACTTTATTTTCTTTGTCTTGAGACACTGCAACGTTCAGGATGAGAATATTCTACGTAGCTCTATAATATAAATGCACCTTTTTTGTTTTTAGTGATGGCTTGATTCTTGATTTCTATGGGCTATGATATGATAACTACTGAACACCAGGTGGGGCATGAGCTCTTTCACTAATGCATCAAAAACGAGTTTTAGTTTACCTAGTTTTTTATTGCCTTGTAGACAGATGAGTCGTCTTGGCCTAAAGGATAAGACGTCCGGTGCATTGCGATACAACGGTGTTCGAATCCCGCAGCCGTAGGCGGGTACTAATTTTTCTAATTAAATACGTGCATAACAAATGTTCACGATTGACTTCCATGGTGAAGGAATATCATCGTGTAATAAAAATGAAACCCGCAAAATTATAATTTGCGTAATTACTGCTGGTAGGACCTCTTGTGAGTCCGCACGAGCAGGTACCACCACCACCACGCCTATTTCTGCCGTTTCGGTTTCAAGGGTGGGGCAGCCGTTGTAACTATACCAAGACCTTAGAATTCATATCTCAATATGGGTGGCGGCATTTACGTTGTAGATGTCTATGGGCTCCAGTGACCACTTAATACCAGGTGGGCTGTGAGCTCGTCCACCCATAGAAGCAATAAAAAAGAAGCATGCGGCCCCTTAGGTGAGCCGTCACGGTCGCTCACGGACGTCAGCTATGCCAGGAACACAGCTAAGCAGCTACCTACCGCAAGAGAATTACATTTATGAAGCTAATTCTTTGAACTACACTTTTATTAGTAGGCTACCTAGCATTATTGATGCAATTGTTTCCGGAATTAAGTGTGCTGCTGAGCTGCTTACATGACAATACAAAAAATTGTGTTTTTTTTAATATTTTTTTATTGCCCTTGTAGGCAGACGAGCATACGGCCCACCTGATGGTGAGTGGTTACCGTCACCCATGGACTTCAGCAATGCCAGGGGCCAAGCCGCTGCCTACCGCTTAATACTCTCCACAAGCCTCGTAAAATTGTACATTTGATTAGTTATTTTTAGGAGCATATGTAACACAATAAAATACAATCGATTCTGAATGCTTAATGTAATCCTGATAGGAGTTTGAGAGCCTTTTGCGCTATATTTTTCATTAAGTTCATCATTTTGAAGTTTTTTTTTCAATTACCTAATACAAGTACATTTGTTTGATAAATATAGTGTGCTAAGGGTTTCTTTAAGTACCTATATGTGAACTTATAAATTGTTTTCGGTAGTACCTATGTTATCATTTTAGATTCGAAAACGGTCTTCTTACGTCCCATAGTGGAATCACACCAATTGAAAAATATTATAAATTATTTTTAACACATCCCCTTTGATTAGATATTTTTTGTAGCTAAACCACTTCTTTTAATCTAGTGCAGTCTTGTCATTTTACCGGTAAACTTGGGCTCAATGCTAAATGGTTAAATGGTAAAAATCACTACCTATTATTTTATTTTAGGCCGAAAGAAATATTAAATTAACAAAATAAAATAATTCAAAGATCTTTTCTCGCCGTGCTCCATCAAAAAGTCCCATTTGAGACGTACAAGTCGATTAAGTTGTACAAACATGTAAGTATGTTGTCGAGATGTACAAGATGGAGAATAGAGAAACGAGTTTTGCCAAAGAGAATATAAACAGATACACTGTCCATTACGCTAATCTATGACTACGCTTGACGTTGTAATGTTGCCAACCTGCATTGCGCCATGTTGAATTTTGTTGTGCTTCGAAAACATTGTGAGCACGTGGATTGTTGGAAAAAATAAAGTGAAATTCAGTCGTAAAACTATTTAATTACAAAATTTCAAATTGATAAAATACACTCCTACTTTGAAATAAAGAAATATTTTTCTCTTGATTTACCAAGTAAGTACATAAAATAATTAGCCGGCAGCGTGATCTAAATTTTGATAATGGAGAGTTCTAGTCGCATGCTCTAATTTTATTGTTGAAATAACTTCTGAAGTAAGATATTATAGTTAGAATCTAAATTGATTATTGTTAACTATGATTTATATCTGTCAATATACTGACGTATATATAATTGCGTAACCTTTCATTTTTGAATCCACATTTGCCTACGTGTTGCTTGTAAAGATTTCAACAACGTTCGTGACCCTCGGTAAAAAACTTAAATTTAATGTTGCGTGCAGTACTCTACCTCGTGGTTTGTTCATAGTCATTACCAATCTGAGATATTTTTATGTCTCGATCTATTTATACGCGGATTGTTAGTGTATTGTAGTTTATTTGTTTTGAGGTTCCGGGTGCCATGCTGGTATAAGATTAATTTACCTTCAATAAAATAAAAAAACTCACTATCTTCGTTAATGTAATGTTTTTATTCCTATCGATTCAATTCGCATGTGTTAGAATACTGTAAATAAACACGCGGATAGCTGTAACCTATTTACATTTGCCAAAAACCAACCTAGATTCGTCAACAGAGATAAGATTTCCACGTGAATATTATAGTATTAATCAGAGAATGGAGTATTTACAAGTAAGTATGTTGTCTGTGTATCAAAATTATCAAAATTACCCAGTTAAAGACTTAACATGTTTCAAGAGATCATATGATAAAACAGTAACAAAAGATTTTAATCATATTACGAGTGCTTATTCTATTCTTTGGTTGTTCTTGGTTTTAGAGATCACCTACTTTGCAGTGCAATGATTAATAAAAAATCCTCAGTTGAGTAGGTATTATTCTGTGGACAATTTTTTATTGAAAAATGAGTAAAAATGGCTTGTAGCTCAGTTTCTGTTAAATTCAATATTTATGAATCTTATAATTGTGCTTCAGCCTAGACTTGTGAAGTATATAACTAGCCTTTGAATGTGACTAAGATGAATTTAACAATGTTTTTTTTTGTAATATTTTATGTCTACTAAGATAAGACCTTTTTTGTATTACATAAATAATAATTAAAAATCGAAGTACAATAAACATTTGAACAACTATACTGCACAAAGTTTTGGTTTAAATTATGAATTCTATCTCAATGTGTACTATATGTAAGTAGACAAAGTACACATTGTATAAGTAAGTACTAAGTATTCCAAATTTGACAATGTATATG